AGATAAGTGAAGACAGAGAGCTGCTATTGACCAACCGCAAAGAACCAGAGGAACACCAACACCAGCTGTGGACATCCTCCATGTGCTCCAACTTCTGTTTACTGGGGATAAGATGTTGCTTCAGTTAAACTTTTCTTTTTTGCAGTAAAACACAGAAGTTATTTCCTCTGCATCTTCTGCTGTAGTGCAGTGATTTGCATACGGATTACACTGACGCGCTGGTTACACACAGCTTGTCATTGGATTACATACAAAATCCTAAAATAAAAAATGGCATTGAGTTGCATAATGGTTTAGTATAGGCTTTACAACAAATTCCCTACGCAATAATTTCTCTTAAGATTACAAAACATGTAATCAATTTGTAGCTATTTCATTTTTTTCAATACATAGTGAACTTTGCCGCTTGAAAAAAAGGTTAGAAAAGGAAGCATTTGACTATATGTGTATGTATGTATGTACGTTACAATTACTGAAACAAGAAAATATTATATATTGCATGTACTGTATGTATGTAATATTAATATATGCAATTATGAACCTGTATTTGCACTTCATGCCTATGTTTATCTATTATGAAACACGTGTGATAAAAACATTACTTGGCTAATTAAGTGGATTTTCATAGACATTTTTTGCCACACACAACTTCCTTTATCCTTAAGGCGCTTGAAATCACACTCAGCAAATTAATATAGAAAGTAGAAGGAACAATTTTGGAGCCTTGACCTTTTAATGCATCAACTTGTTTAATTAAGTGCAAGTCTGGTCAGTTAATAAAGCTTTAAGGGCGAGTTTGTTTGAACTGCGTGCCAGCGTTAACAGAGCTGTCTGCCCGACTCCATCCGAATGCTCAGATCCCGCCCATTAGCATCCTGGACGAGATTCTTCTGATCTGCAAACAGCCTCAAGTCAACTCATTTTAGTGGGCCTCCTCTGCTCTCCTCTCGCCGCCTGCCCTAAAGGGATCAATACCAATATGAAAAACCTGGATTCCATTCTGAGCAGACCACAGCGGAGCCTTTGCTTGAATACAAATCAGAGCTCCACACTAGAATTGGCTGCAATGCGATCCCCAGGGAAAGAAACCTCTATAGAGTCCTTCGTTTTGGGGATGGGATGAGGGCTGGTTGCCTATCAGCGTCGTTTACATGATCAGCGGGTGGGGGGAAACTGCAAGGCAAGCTGCGCCACCGCCGACTTGGTAAACATCACAATTATCTCATAACTTTCATCGGGGTTTCTTTGCAAGCTGAGCGCGAGAGCTCGAGTGTCTTTTCAGGCATACAAACAAGGAGCTGCTTCACCAAATGCCGAAACACAACAACAGCTTGGGGCTTAATCATTGAAATTACTTTGCAAAAATTACCGTAGCATAACACATTGTACATGCTAAATTAAAATCATCTTCATTTACAGGACAACAAGACGCAGATCCTAATTGTAATCGGCTGTCTGTTTAGAGAGATAAGTGAACGCTTGATGTTTGCAAGCATACAAACTTGAATTGAACTTGTGACAGCAGATGTGGGCCAAGTAAGCCTCTGGGCATCCCCAAGTATTAATTTAAGCAAACTTATTTTTCAGTTTTTTAAATGAAAGCTTATTAAAAAGATTATTGCTAACAGTTAGACACAAATAGGTTAAAATATGGCTGTAGTTGTTATTCACTGGGAGGCATTTTCACAAAACAAGTTTCTGACCTTAGAATCTTTTCCTGCACTTGCTAAAAACCTCTCCACTTGAGTAAAGCACTCTCAAAAGAGATATTGATTAACAGTGGGGATGTAGTGAGGGGGCGATCGAACTGTCCCTGTGTTGTCCTGTAGCTTAGTAGACCTGGTTAAGCCTCAAAGGCAAATACAATACTCCAGCAACACTCTGCTGATTGTATTCTCTGATCTGAACACAGTGTCCGCTGCACTAGCCCTGTCTGAAATATTCATTCTTTATAATAAGCACTATGATCATCTGTGAGCAAAATGTGCATATAAAAAGTTGAAAAGAACAAATCAAATACAAAATATCAAAAACAACATAAATATGCCAAGCTATAACTGGCAAGTCATTAGATCTATGACAAAACTTAATACTTGTAATTTAACATGGCCTTCATAATTAAACATTACTGTATAAAATATTCTCTTGAACAAATTCTAATCACAAGCCAACAGCACCTTATTTCAGAGTTATGGTGGGAAGGGTGTCAAATCTGTGATATGCAAAAGGAAAGTGAAGTAGTTACTCAGCTGAAATAGAAGTTTGGTGCTGATGTAAGATCAACAGTTTTCCTGTCCTCAGCACTAGACTAGGCCTGTCATGATAATTACTATATTGACTTATCGTTCAACATATGATAGCTGGAACAATCATTTTTGGGGCTCAATATTTAGTGTCTAACCATATTTTACATTTAGAATACTTTTTGGGGATAATTCCAGTTTATGGTTATTGTGTCAATTGCATAAATTTGTTTCAATATTATCAATATTTTCTTCAAAGTTAACTTCAATATTTACTTCAAAATGTGCTATCGTGACAGCCCTACATTGGACTAGGGGTGCAAAAATAGCTAAATACCAATATATCGTGATACAAAATTTGGTGATACAGTACTGTGGGCTGTGAATATTTTTTATTATCAAAGTGCTTTTTTTTTTGGTGACAGCACTACTAGGTTTGTTGCTTATTTAGTGGAAGGAAATTATGCAATACACTTGATATTCACTGTTTTGATGATTTCATAATAACTTTGCACAAGTAGTGGTTTAACAAAGGAACATTGTTGCAAAAATGTAATCAATTCTTAAAAACAACAATGTATCATGTGCAATAGAGCAATTACTGCATGTATTACCATATTGTGATAATATCTTATCGTGGGCCGTGTATCGTGAGGAACCCAGCTCTACACTAGATACCATTTTTCAATCCTTGGCTTTAACATTAAGATCTGTACCATCTGATATTTTGACACTGTGTCCATTGCTTCCGATCCCCAGAGGTACAAATGGCTGGGAAGGCCCACCTCAACATCCATCCTCTCTCCTCCGACACCGTTTACCCTTTCACTCACCTCTGCCACAATCACCACACGCCACAACAGAGCCAGCATCCAGGGATTCACAGACAATTGGACCTGACTGGGCCACAACCTCATTCATACAGAGGAACCCGCGACTTCGACAGGTGGAAGAAAAAAGAAAAGTCTCAAGTTGAGGTGAGCGCGGGCAACAATTGGGTATTAGTACGGCGGACTCAGTCACGCTAAATCCTTTTGACAGCTCATCTGGATTTCTCCACTCAATTTATCCACATCAAATCAAACTAAATGTCACAGTATCCTTTGGCACAAAATAGCGACCATCAAGTTGGGCTTTGTTATGATAATCAATTTTGAAGTGTGATAAGGAGGTCACAGAATCAGATTTTTGTGTTATAATTATTGAAAGCAGAAACAAAATTATTTTACAATTAACAGAAAACTGTTTTTCACAGTTACAGTCTGACACAAACCAAACAGTGAACAGAGAAAATCATTCATCTTTAAAACATGACTATCCCTCTTTATAAATACAACATAATTTAGGTTTACTTTTCATAATATCGATGTAATTTAATTTTTGCTTTATTGATTAACCAAATGATCTTGACATCTTTGAATTCAAATAAAACATAGGCTGCCATAAATGAATAGCACAACGAAACACTTTGCTACTGCTAAATGAGTCATGATCATGTTAAATATGTTAAAGATTAAGGTACGCCAAGCAAAATAATGTGCAAATTTGTGTTGTTAAGATACAAAAAATTCTGATTTGATTTCAATACTAAGGAATAGGCTGATTGCAGTACCATTAAGATAACAAAAACTACTTTTTTACACAACAGAATGTAATTTTCAACATTAAATCATAGTACTTTCTTTTATATTACCTTGTGGCCTTGATCTATGTAATGCCTCAGTCATCCAGGTAGGTTTCAGAGAGGTCCATGGATGTATACTAGTCTATGTGGTTTTATACTTGTTCTGATACAGTTTAAGATCATTCTAAATATATTCAGGAAAAAGGTTCATTTCTGTCCTGTGAATGCAACTTTTTTAGTATCGATACGTGTTCAAACAAGTATCCAGTTTTGATACTAGTTTTAATATTGAGCATCTGATTTTCAATACTTTCGACTAAGTGCAAATAAAGAGTACATCGTAAATATAATGAACCCAAAATAATACAGTTAATCTCTAATTTACAAAACAACATCTTGAATTTGTATTTATAGTGACCAACATCAAGTGCCAAAACTGTGGACTTTCCCATCTGGACTTCTGGACACTTTGATACCGACCCGACTCCCCCACTCCATGCTTTAACACACGGCTGTTCATTACACACAAGTCATAAACCTTTTGCATCGGGAGCGACAAATTTATTCCTGTTGAGAGGAGCCAAGCGTCTGAAATAATCCCTGGCGTGATCACAGCTCGCGCCCCTAGATTTATTATGCTTTATGAGTTGTACATGACGTCGACTTTTATCGGCTTTGAGCAGGAGCCTATTTAATTGTCTCGGCAGATTACACAAAGACGATGCACATTTAGCATTACTTGAACACTGTGAGTTTTCATTACACAGCAGAGGACATAAACTTAACACCACCAGTCTTTGACATGTCACTGATGAATTTTACACAGCTTTTCAGATTGTCAATGAATGCGGTTGGTTGCATGAAAACATTATTCAATCAGTGTACACACAATATAGTTTAGTTTCGGTTTAAATCTGGTGCAAGATTATATGCAATCAAATCAAAATTACAGTATGAAAGTTTGTAATTAGTACTGGTAAATTGTAAAGACTGCAATTATTATACAGTCATGTGCAGAAGAAATGACAACAAGTGAACCGTGCCAGTGGAAAAGAGGCTATATGTTGTCTCCATTTGGTCGTATTGTGTATATAATATCAATTTACTCTGAAATGCATGGGATATAATTGTACATATAATTGCAAATGCTGGTAAATACTGTCTGAAAAGTAAACTGTACCTGTGCTGCAGAAAACCGATGAAGGGTGCAACTCCGGTGCCTGGCCCGATCATCACCAGAGGCACAGAGGGGTCAGAGGGAAGACGAAAGGAGCAGTTCGCCCGCAAACTCACATGGACCTAGAGTCAAAGGACATAACACAAATATGAATTAATGAGGCTAATTACACCAATGCACCAGTCCACTGAGGGATTCAATGGATTTATTGATCAACTGAGAAATACTAATGAGAAAGTTTATGAGCGCACAATATAATCTATAGTTTCTATTAGTTCAGATTCACTGTAAATGCAAAACCAGCGACCAATAAAGTTTAAAACTTTTAGATAAAACACTTACTCTAGCAAAGTAGTGTTGTGGGTTTAAGCTCTATAGATAAAACTACATTAAGTAACCAAATAAATAAATAGTATGTATACTAAATGTGCAAAACCAACCAAACATGATTTTTATTGACATGGTATTTGTCCTTGTAACTGAAGCAACATTCATTTTGGCTTAATTTCCAGTCACATTTAATATTCCTATAAATTACATTAAAATGCAGGCTTTCTGATCCAGTAAAACAGTTAGGCTACCCTCTGTTTTTTCTAATGGAGCCCAGGCCAAAATCTCATAAAACTATTGTTTAACACGGAACAGCAGTTCTTCATCCAACCAGACTAGAATACGTTACCCCAGCTATAATGGAGCAACTCTTGAACTATGATATTTGTCAGGGGCAGTAACCTCAATTGGCATTTTAATAGAATGAGACAAGACAGAGAGGGAGGGACATTTAACCTTTTCATTTTGGAGTTGAAACTATTAAACCGCCTTTGACCACATGTACTTTCAAATTAGAGCACTTAAAATATATCAAGCAAGTCTGAGGAAGAGCCAACATTTTCAGCTCATCATTTTCCAGTGAACTCATTACCTTTGGCAGAAGCTGGCCGCCGGAGGACTGCAGGGTCGTGCTGATGAGGTCAAACAGCCAACCAGTACACAAGCCGCGCCTCCCATCGGGCCGCCCAGTGCATGCTGGGAACTCCACCACGCTGAAGACAAAATGCACTTTTCCTGGGTATCTTAGACAGGAGCTGCAGAGAGATGGAGCATGGAGAGAAGCAGATAGACAGACAGTGAGGAGAATGAAAACAGCAGGGAGTGCATGTGGGAGGGTATTTATCACATTGTGGGAACTAGTATCTATTCTGTAAGCTCACTCGATTCATAAGGGACCTGCCTCCTTTATAGTGACAAAAAACATGTCCTCATATGAATCAAGATCAACAACATGGTTTAAAGTTAAGACAGGGGTTACAAAAGGTTAAGGCTGGGAAAATAAAAAACTATGACAGACAAAAATGAAGACAATGATGAGAAATGAAAAATGATCAAAAGAAAATGTATCAACAACGTAGAGTAAAAGTATTGAACATTTCCAAAATGTTGGAACAGTGAAAAATATACAGAGCAACTAAATGCATTGATCCGTAAATTCAATTTGTTGCCCTGATCTTAGCTTACCAAGATGTTCAAAGAATTCAAAAGAACCTTTGTTTTAAAGAGCAAAATCTCACTTAAAATAGAGATTTCTGTTGTGGATATGTTTAGATTAGATTACAGGTCAGTAACTTTCAAATGCATGTATTTTATTTTGTACATTACATTGCATTCTTGTGACTCTAATGAGGTAAATAAAACAACTTCTCAGATAAGCAATTAGAGAATATCATTAAACCGTCAGTGAATGCCAATTAAAAGTACACACCAAAACATCTGACGAGCGTTGAATTTGAGTAATAAGCTACACAGCCTCACTACATCTGCTTTGTCAAAGGCTAGTCTCATATAAAAGATTGAGCAGGAATAAGCCAGCCTCTGCTCTGGTACTCCAGAGTCTGTGGCTGTAGTGCGGCGCTCACAGTCCCTCTCACTCCCATCCTTCACTCTCTCTGCTCCTGTGGGCCACTGGAGACCTCTATTGACCACAGCATCAATAATGCAGGCCTCTAATGTGTCTCTGCACCATCTGATAAACTACAGCCACCACAGTCTCTGCTGCCTCTCAGCCCAAACACACAGCGAGCACAGGAGCAGCGGACTAGGGTCTAATGACAGGGGCTGGGGACTTTGACAAGAGCACAATAACAAATCAATGACAGAACAAAGATTGGTTAAGTTAAGATGCAGTACACACCAGCAATTTTTAAACTACACCATGTATTTGTTTGAATGTCACGTTTTGGTATGTCAGCACAAACTTCCACTGTCAAGTAATGTCAAGTAATCATATTCCCTTAAAGCTGCTCCATGTAATTTTTCTGGTGGGGGATGGAGATATTATTGCTTTGTCTAGAAGGACAAGGGTACAACATTAAAGTTATCAATCTAACTAGTATTTATTCATTTACAGGTGTTTGTTTTTTTTTTTTCAGATAATACCTTGAAAAACATGATGCAGGTTTACAGAATGTGCTCACCTCTCCTCAAATCTAAGATCTACCTTGGCCTAGTGGCATCACAAGCTTGTCTCCATGGAAAGATAAAGTTTATTTCATACTGTGTAAGATTCCAGGCAAAGCAATATCATCTCCATGGAGACAAGCAGATGGCAGATCCACAACCAAATAGGTTATAGTCCACTGCACTTTAATTATTTGGTTAAAGGGTCCATATTACATTATATAATGTTGTAATGTTGTTTTCTCATCAAAAAAACATACCTGGAGTTGGGTTTTGTTTCACTCACACACGTTTAATGCACAAATGCTGCATATTTAGGCTGAGTTCTTTTCTCAAACAGAAAACACTCAGTTCCGCCTTATGGTGTCATATGGTAATGCAGGAAGTGCTCCACTGTATTTTTAAACCCCATACACCTTCATTAGAATCATTTCAGCCCTGGAACTGCCAGTCTCTCCTGAACTAAAAGTAAAAGGTAGCTGTTAACTTGAAAACTACCATTACATGACATCACAAGGTGGAACAGAACATTTTGAGCTTTGGAGATGCAGACAGACTAATAATAGGGTTAGTCAAACAGTGTGTGAGCAAAACAAAAGACAACTCTAGGCATGTTTTTGATGAGGTAACAACATTATAACATGTGTTAAAGCTTACACGAGTCAGTTTTGCATAATATCGGGCCTTTAAAGCTCAGTTTGTTAAAAAATAAAGTAATTCCACTCAAGGCTTTGAAGATTCTACACTTTTGTGCCTCCTTCTCTGATTTTCACTGTCTCTGCTTCTTACACCCTATTTTTTGTGTTTAAATTCCTTGGAGAGTTGAAGAACAGGGAATGCAGTCCATAAATCCCAGTTGGGGATTTGAGATCTTGTGATATTGGGTTCGACTAGAATAGGCTTATTGGCTGTACTTTTAAAAAAGCCACAAGATAATACGGGACCTTAAGCAAAACCCTTGTGGTGTTTGCAGTGTAGTTAAAGCCCCTTGTTAAACTACAACGCCATATCCAAGACAAGCCAATATAAATGGACTACTCAACTGTTTATTTGTGAATCACTGCATATGAGGCAAATGTACAATGAATTATTGGTTTGTTTAAAAGCTAACTGAGCTAAAAATGTATGGAACTCCCACAGATCTGATTCAAGCGACAGAAAAACATGCACTTTCAATTACACAGACTACTACAGGATGCAGTATCTTACCTTGCAGCTGAGTATGGCCGGGGCTGCAATTTAGGCAGGTGCTCTGAAAATGGAAAAAATAGATATATATATAAATAAATTACAACTGTCAATCACATTCTTCCTCGCATGGATTGTGTTTCACAGACAAGCCTGACCGAGATGAGAAAGAATGAGTGAATGTCGTCTTGGTCTGTTGAGACACCCCTGTACCTATAGCGTTCCTACCTTCCCCTTCTAGATATATACATACAACTACCTTATTTCTAGGACGCACTTCTATATTTATGAAATTACAACTCAGGGTTACAGAGTCCCAAGTGTCCAGATGTGGAGCCAGTAGGAAACCGCTTATTCAGTCCATGAAGGTGCCCTCTTTCGGCTAATGGAAAAGGTGTATTACATTGGTGAGGAGGTGTCAGTTAATCAGAGGAAGTTGTAAGAGTTGACTTTGCCACCCTTGCAGCAGAGTGGCACAATGCTATTTGCAAGTTTATATGAGAAATGCGTTGACGATGTACTCCCCTGCCTGGTATCTTGGAGATGGATGAACAAGGGAAAGTAAAGCCGTACCATATGCGCCATCTAAGGCCTTACAAAAACACATTTTTCTGGTAAATTGCTCCGTAAGACAAACAGCTGGACTGAATCTGCTCACTCCTCTTCTTTTTCAAACATAAACAGCTCAGAGTGTTAAAGAGGCAGCTCAGAGATTTGATGTCAATTTATTCAACCAACACATTCACCTGCAGCACTTAAAACTAGGCTCAAAGTATTTTTTACAAGCTACAAAAAGGCAGATTAAAAACCTTGCTATTACTAAAAGCAATGTGGCCTTGTTAGCTTGGATGTATGATGCTTGGATTTTGATTGCTCAAAATCATTTCAGTAAGGAAAAAAAGAGACATTTGCTCAAAAGGAATGACCTACACAAAAATATATTCAACCATTAATAACAGCATTAAGCATTACGCATTCAAGCCAAAACTTTTAAGACTTTAAAAGGGCCCATATTACATTATTTTCTGTTAAAATGTTGTATCTTCATCACCTTCATCACAAATACACCCTAAAATGTGTTTTGTTTCATTCACACACATTTAACACACAAACCTTGCATATATGGGCAGAGTTCTCAGACTGAAAACGCTCTGTTCCACCTTGTGATGTCATGCGGCAATATAGGAAGTGCTCCACTGTGCTTTTAAACTGCTTACACCGTCGCTAGAATCATATGCATGATTTCAACCCTAGAATTGCTAATCTCTACTGAGCAAAAGGTAAAAAGGTAGCTGTAAACTTGAAAACTGAAAAATTCCACCACATGATATCACAGAGCATTTTGAGATTTGGAGATGTAGACAGACTAAGAATAAATCAGGTTTACTCAAACATGTGTGAATGCAACAAAACATAACTCCATGAATGTTTTAAGGAGGTAAAATATTCTAACTATTCTAATAACTTCTGATAATGTTGTTTCTTCATCAAAATATACCCAAAAATGAATTTTATTTGAATATAGACAATCCACACAAACCCTGCATATTTAGGCTGAGTTCTTCTTTCAAGCATAAAACACTCCACATTGTGGCATCATGTAGTAATATAGGAAGTCTCCACTGTGTTTTTAAATTCTGCACACCTTCACTAGAATCATTTGGATGATTTCAGCTCTGGAATCTTTGCTGAATAAAAAGAAAAAGATAGCTGTTATCTTGAAAACTACAGCTTTGTGACATCACAAGGTGGAACAGAGAATTCTGAAGTTTGGAGATGAAGACAGACTAAAATGAATATGTTACTCAAACATGTGTGAATGAAACATCACAACTTTATTTAGTTACTTGATGAGGTAACACAGTTCTAACACAGTCTCACAAGAGTCAATTATGTGTAGTTTAGGATCTTTGATGTTGTGCAGCTACTGTTCAAATAAAATCAAAACAAATAAAAGATTTGTTAAAGCTTTTCTCTTTTAACAAAGTCCTTTACATGTATTTGAGATGTTCTATATACGGTACTAGTGCTGTGCGGTCCTACTGAAGATTTATACTTTGTTGCTTTGTGAACAAGAACACACCCCATCTATTAGAGTGTGTGTATATGAAGAGAAAAGCTGCACTGTGGCTGACTCCTGCCTTTCTATCACAGTGTGACAGCATATGTCCAAAACACGAGACAATCAATCCATCATCTCACTCCACTGCACCTTGATGATAGCGCTGGTAGACACAGAGGATAGATCCCGTTAGAGCTGTGCTAGTCGGGGGGCTTCAGGATACACGCTGCATTTCCAGAGAAGTTTTGGTTTCGAAAAAATACCGTCCCGCAGGCCCCCACTATGTTTTCTGAAATTATCATTTTCAGGGTATCATCGATCAAGCTGCTCACAACAATATAATCTATTCCATCTGAAAACTTTGTGTGCTGCAATTTATATCCAAAGGTGCTGTTTTAAAAGGAAAGGGGAACCAACCTGGATCGACTTGTCTTTAGTAATTTATTCTTGCTTTAGGAATCCAGGTTACTACTACGGTATTCAGGACTCTCCATTGTACATTATTAACACATACAAATGCTAATGACATGCTATTTCTGAGAAACGTACCTGCAAGCTCATGCCTTTTTATTTGCTATGCAAGTTCTCACGCATTTGATATAGTTTCATAATTTTATAAGCTATGAATTTATGTAGAACGTGATTTTAGAAACCACATTTGTTACACCTTGTAGCTATTTTGAATATAAATGATACAACCTCTTGGGAAACAGACTTGGTTGCAAAGGGCCAGGGTTTTAAAGTAATTGTTTCTTGGTATGATTGCATTTGAGCCAGGAGGGAAAGGAAAATATGCGCTAAGACAGTTTACTGTTCCCTCAGGTTATGACCTCAAAACTTTTCTTGTGACACTATAGCTGAGACAATAAAGTCTGTAACTAGAGACCTGGCTTTCTCCAGCTATGTATTTTTCCTATACACACCAGCAGGATGCACTTGGCCAAAGACATGTGGACTTTATCCAGATCTCCCCTCGTTATTAATAGTTACTTCATATCAGCATAAACACAAACACCTCCCATACGCCCGGGGTAATGGACCAAGTGCAAAATGCAGCAGAACAATTTTAACACCCTGAGTCAGGACTGCCCCCTGCCCCTGTCTGCCCCACCAATCTCATGCCCTTGCAAAGTCAGTGGCTCACCAGTAAACAGCCCCCATGGTCCCCTCCTCAGAACAGCTGGTGCCCCGAAGGCCCTCCAACCTCATATTTTTCACTTGGGCACAATTGTCCGGATTGCCAATTTCTACATCGGCCTAGCACAGTAAAAAAAAGATGCTGTTGTTGGCAAATAGGCCAAAAATAACAGTGACACGAGGAAGAGCAGGAGTGTGACACAGCTGTTTTAGAGGGCGACTCAACGCGGAAAGAAAAGTGCGGCCAAACTCATTTCACTGTCTGCTAAGTTTTAGTCAACGCTTATTAAATCTATACTCAGCCAAAAGCATTAATGGGCTGGATGAAAATGATTTGGCAAGGATTAAAATAAGAAGGACTTTGATGGCTAAAACACAACTATAATGACTGTAAAGGTCTATTATTTTCACAGCAAAGAGGGACAAATGGGGAAGTGTAAGAAGATATAAATTGACTCTAAATTCTTTTCACACTTAATAAAGTACCATCCAATGAAATATTTAGTTGAATTATTATGAGAAAGAAACCATGACTTACCAAGGACTAATCTGACAGTTGTATTGATTACCCCTCTCTATCAACATATTTCAACTACTGCCCATGTTTGTTTTGTGAAGCGTCTTGTCTGAGTCTGATCATTTAGGGCAACTGACAACTCAACTCAAGAGGCTTTTTTCCCCCCTATGCTTGGGCTACAGTGACCCCTACAGTATGAAACATGTACATCCTCAAAGATACTGTATGAATGACACTTCAAAATCATTTAAAAACTCAATTATCATAGCCTGGGGTCTCATCTCAAACTAAAGTGAAACATTTGGGATTTACCTGTGATTTTTATTCACAGCTGCAGTGAATAAAAATCCCAGTCTCATATCAATCACTGTAATTCCCATTTGTTCCGCGTATGTACCGAAGAGGCTCTTTAATTAAGAAAAAGCATCTGGTATTGTAACTCGACAAAAGAACAGAGATAAAAGTTTGAAATATATTCCAGGATTTTTTTTCCTATTGTTTGTGCTACTTGCCGCTCTTGCGTGTCATGCCCAGTTATAGTACATTTACACTTGTCCAGATTTAGTTCTGGGTACAGTCCCAGTTTAGGTTTCATCCACACATTTGAGTTATTAATCTGTCTACATCTCTAAGATCAAAATGCTTTGTTCCACCTTGTGATATCATTTAGTTCAGGAGTGATTGGCAATTCCAGGGCTGAAATTATCCAAATGATTCTAGTGAATGTGTATGGAGTTTAATAACATAGTGGAGCTCCTGCATTGACACATGACATAACAAGGTGGAATAGAGTGTTTTCTGTTTTAGAGAAGAACACAATTTCAGGTATGTTTTTGATGAGGAAAGAACATTATAACATGTGTAGATCATAAAACAGCCTAATTTTGAACTTTTAAAGTTTGCAGAGCTTCTTTACTATGCATGAGACTGACCTATGAGGAGGCTGAGCGGAGCCTGGCAGGATGGAAAGGCAGAGAGCAGCTCCAGAACGCTAAGGTTTTGATCTCGTACAAACATGTTATAGTGTGTAGCTCCCTGTCTACTGCACAGCTCCTGTAGTCTCCTCTTCTGTGTGCTGTCCCCAGTATACTCCACCAGAGCCCGAACAAACGCCTAATGGAAAGGTGTCCAATTTAGATAATACTGTTTTGCTGGTTTGACAACAAAACATGAATAGTAAAATACTAAATTATCAGTTACAGCCTGTGGTCTCTATTTTGAGAATTAACTAACCTTTTTGGGAACATTTCTTATTTCTATACACCACGTTAGCAGGTAAAGCAGTGAAATGTTATCCGGGATGTGAGATGGCACCTGGGCACCTATATGATGAAAGAACATTTTGGAGTTAAACCCACATGTAAATCAGGAGTACTGTGCTGCATAATATATGCAGAAATATAATAATAATTAGTAAATGAACATACCTTTTTTCTTTGTGTCCTTTAGCAGTGAAATACAAACGTGATGGTTTCTTTTGTCCCAAAGACCTAACCTGTGCAGCAACTTCTCCACTTCACCTGCTCTGTTTGGGCAAAACACATCAAACGCATCTCCAGGATGATAGTCCGCTGGGTAACACTAGAAATACAGAGTATTATTTTTTATCTTTTTTTTTTTACATTAGATTTTACAGAACATAAACATTAGTGTGCAGGAGAGCGTGAGAAGACCAAAACAGTTTTATATCAAGTGTATTTATAATGATGTCTTACAGAGATGTCCAGCTCAAAAAGTAGTGCCGTCTTCACACCATCCCCACGGGTCATTTTAACAGCTTTTGAGATGGGCACCTCATAAAGGGCATCTTTATTTGGAGGTCCAGGGGTCTAAAAAACAAATAATACAATTAAATTATAAATTACAGTATAATAAAATTAGAGTATACAACTTTTGCAGTATCTTACCTCATCTTCTAGATCTACTTCCTGAAGAGCAACGTCCAAGAAGGAAGGAGGTAAAGCAGGAATATTGAGAGCTAAATCGGATAGCGGAGGTACGGAATTTGTTAGCGAAGGTGCACTTGTGACGTCTGTCCCGCTCGCTGATGATGCAGATTTGGACTCAGTAACGGCAGTTTGTGTAACCATTGCAGCATGTTCACCAGTTGATGATATATTTGAGGTATTTTCTGGATTGGGCTGATCACTGATGCTTAGCTGGTTGAGTGTGAGGTCTTGTACAGTGGGAGTTTGTGTAACAATATTTTCTTTTAACTGTTCATTTTTGTCTGATGCCATTTTGTCAGATGCTAGTTTAATTGCTGCCCACAGTCCTTCAATCCAAGGATCTACAACCAGCTCCAATCTGATAAAACAATGCTCCCAATTAAACACAATAGAGGAAAGTAATCAATATTTATTTATTTTTTTCTTACCCAACACCGTCATCAGCATATCCTGTTGCATAAAATTGTTTGGCTCCAAGTTCTTGTAAACGGCGCTCAATTGTCTTCCCACAATTACAGAAATTTGCATAATTTGTGTCTCCTAAAGCTACAACAATAACATTAGAGGGAGAAACATAAATTTTAATCACATACTTTCAGTCTTCAAATACAACTGTCAAGTACGTTAAAAGGGCCCATTATACTGTTGTTTCCTTATCACAAACATACCTGGAGTTTTGTTTTGTTTCATTCACATGTTTAACACACAAATCCTGCATATTTAGGCTGAATACTTGTGATGCCATGTGCTCCACTGTGTTTTTAAACTCCATACTAGAAGCATTAGAATCATTTGGATAAAGTCAGCCCTGGAATTGCCAATCTATACTGCATCTGTTAACGTGAAAACTACCACTACATGACATCACGGTGGAACAGAGCTTTGGAGACGTAGACAGAATAATAATAAAGGGTTACACAAACATAAGTGAATGAAACAAAAGTAACAGAGTCAATTTTGCATAATACAGAACCTTTAAAGATACATTAAATTACTTACCTAAAAGTGCATAAGTCAGATGTTGGTAATGGTCAGGAAGAAGTGTCTTCTTTTTTATGCTCTTTACAAATTTAAGGGCATTGTCTGGCGGTTCTCCATCCCCAGTAGTAGACACAATGAAAACCACAGGAGCACTTTCTTTATCTAAATTATACTGAATAGAACATAATGTATTGTTAATAAATGGTTTATTACACACAATATGTAGAGCATAAAATGGTAATGTTGTTAGATAGATGGCCAGTTCAGCATAAGCAACAAATACCTTTTCATTCTCATTCAAACAGCTGAGCTCTGCCACTAGTCCATGTTTGTCGGCCTCCTCAAATATCCCCTCTGCAATGGACTGAGCTTGACCCTTTTGAGAGCCATAAAGTAACACAAATCGAGGCTTTACTTCACATGGCATTCTGTAGTAAAACAAAATTAAATAGGTTAAAGGTCACATTAAGGGGAGATATACTACTCTGTCATTATCCAGCAATAGCACGTGAATCAAAATTTAAGTAACACCAATCAATACACAAAAGCTTACTTGAACGCAATGCAGTGTGATCTGACAGATTCCCAGCTGAAAACGTGTTAAACCTTACCTAAGCCTGCGTGATGCAATCAGAAGTTCACTTGTAGATCTTCTCTTAATTTTAGGCAAATTGCGAAGCCAATAGGACACAGCAAACGCTACCATGAAAAAGTCCCAGATATCAAGTAGTATTTTACGACTGTTTTAGGAGCAAATTGAAGTTTTAAAGTTTAAAGTAGTCCTAATGTTTACTTGCAGCTGGACTAGCTGTCATTTTAAGAGTAACCACAATATAAATGCATTTTAACAGTGTTATTACTACACAGTACAAATGAGTATACAAATTACCTACAAATCAGACAAAATAGTGTAAAAACTCAAACACAACTTCACATATAATAAAGTTATACCTCATAAAACGTGCTCTTTCCCAGGCTGCTAGTTCTCTCGTGTAGTGTGAGTGTATGGTCATTGTCGCGAGAATGACAACGAGAATGGAAGAAACCATTTTTTTTACATAAATGTTTTGGTGTTTTAATCATTTAGACACAATACTTATTGATGCTAATCATTTATTATCCAGTGTTACATAAGATATACAAAAACGTCATATAGGTTTTATGAAATATTAAAGTGGTGTAGCGGAAATAAAATCACGTTGACAGTACTTGGTTACGCCCTCCCCGCCCGTGGAGTCTTCCAGAAGTCGCCGGCAGATCCGTGCGGCTTGCAGCTTAGCCACACTCCAGAATAACATCTTTTAAGCTATTATTTTGACAGTTACCGTTTAATTTGTCTCATTAACCAACAGCCAAGATGTCCAGCCTCGGGACACTCGCTTTTGATGAGTATGGAAGGCCCTTTATCATTATTAAAGACCAGGATAAGAAGACCCGGTTGTCTGGGATTGATGCATTGAAGGTACAATGAGCTTAGCTTGTGGGGCTGACGCATGCTGGTGCTAGCGCACTTTTTCCTCATCGTAGAATTTTGGCATCTTGTTGACATCGAAGTTGTTATTTATGTACTATGCGTCTGATCTCTTGTTTATTCATTGTATTGTCTTCTGCATAGATGTGCGCAGATTCGTTGCTTTGTGGCTCCGTAATCGTTAGCCTGTCATGCTAACAGCGGCCCATGTGCTTTTTGAACACTTCGGTGTGCAGCCTCTGGGTGTTGCTGCCGATGCCCCCATATGATGTTCCGCCCTATGCCTTTCATTTGTTCCCCATTGTAACTGTGCAGCCAAAACTGCGCGTTTTACTCATTTAGTTTGTCATTCGGGTTTTATTTTATTCAAAATCCTTATGCGTGTTATTTTCATGTCATAGTCCAATTAAATCTCTTTTTTCCACTTTCTTATTCTAATGCTGCCTTTTTTTTGTAGTCACATATTATGGCAGCCAAGGCTGTAGCATCAACCCTTAAAACTTCATTGGGCCCTAATGGTAAGCATACGTTTTTATGATATCTTATCAGAAGATTGGCGTTGGTGTGAAATATGTTCTCTGCCAGGTCTGGACAAGATGATGGTTGATAGAGATGGAGAGGTTACTGTTACAAATGATGGAGCTACTATTCTCAGCATGATGGATGTGGACCACCAAATCGCCAAGCTTATGGTGGAACTGTCCAAGTCTCAAGATGATGAGATTGGTGATGGCACCACTGGAGTTGTTGGTACGGGCTGAATCTTTTCTAATAAACTCAAATTGAATTCTAGTTGTATTCATAATATTGGTATTTCTGGTGTTAGTGCTGGCTGGCGCATTGCTGGAGCAGGCTGAGCAGCTGCTGGACCGTGGAATTCACCCCATCAGAATCTCTGACGGTTACGACCAGGCCGCATGCATTGCCATCGAGCAGCTTGACAAAATCTCCGAGACCTTCCCCTTTGACCCAAACGACACAGAACCACTCATTCAGACCGCAATGACAACCCTGGGGTCCAAAGTGTGAGTTTTATAGGAAATGTGCAGGAGAGATTAGAGAATATTTATGGCTGCACCAATTAGATTTGAATTTGTTTTTTTTTTTCCTGCAGTATTAACCGATGCCACAGACAGATGGCTGAGATTGCTGTGAATGCAATTTTAACAGTGGCTGACATGGAGAGGAAAGATGTGGATTTTGAACTCGTAAAGATGGAGGGCAAGGTTGGAGGCAAATTGGAGGATACACAACTTGTAAAGGGAGTCATTGTCGACAAAGAGTTCAGCCATCCTCAAATGCCCAAGGTAAAGTTTCCCTTTTTTGCTGTCTTAACCATTTTAGCCTTTTGTTCACAGAACAGAAACTTCACTTTTTCTTTTTTTAATATATATTTAACCTTTCTGTAGGAACTGAAAGATGTGAAAATTGCCATCCTCACCTGTCCATTTGAGCCCCCCAAAGCCCAAGACCAAGCACATAAGTTGGATGTTACATCTGTTGAGGACTACAAAGCTCTCCAAAAATATGAAAAAGAAAAGTTTGAGGAGATGATCCAGCAGGTATGAGGTGGTTCAAATATGTATCAAGGATCTGAGCAATGTATATGACGTGTTTTAATATTGGTTATCATTTGGTAGGTGAAAAGCAATGGTGCAAATTTAGCCATTTGTCAATGGGGCTTTGATGATGAGGCCAACCACCTTTTGCTGCAGAATGAACTTCCAGCTGTGCGCTGGGTGGGAGGGCCTGAGATTGAGGTAAATATGTTTCCTTCTGACAAACTGGCATCTTAATAAATTAGATTATGTGCTGTAATGTTATGTAATTTTGTGCTTTATTCTCCAGTTAATTGCAATAGCCACAGGGGGTCGCATTGTCCCCAGGTTCTGTGAACTGACTCCAGAAAAGCTTGGCACAGCCGGATTGGTGAAGGAAATCTCTTTTGGTACCACAAAGGACCGAATGTTGGTTATTAAAGAATGCAAAAACACCAGAGCTGTTACTATTTTCATCCGTGGAGGAAACAAAATGGTGAGAGATATTCTTCATTATTCAAAATAACTGTTTTTGGCTCCTGTTATTGAAATGTATTTATTTTTAATCTTTAGATTATTGAGGAGGCCAAGCGAGCTCTTCATGATGCCCTTTGTGTAATTCGTAATTTGGTCAGAGATAACCGTGTTGTGTATGGTGGTGGTGCCTCTGAGATTGCCTGTGCTCTGGCTGTTAATCAAGCTGCTGACAAGGTAAATGGATAAATGAGTTGATTTATAAGAACTAAATTTGATATTTATATTTAATACGTGTGCCTGTTATACCTATTTCTATTTTGCAGTGCCCATCTTTGGAGCAGTATGCCATGAGGGCATTTGCTGATGCTCTTGAGGTTATCCCCATGGCTCTGGCCGAGAACAGTGGCCTGAACCCCATCCAGACCATGACAGAGGTCCGAGCCAAACAAGTCAAAGACAACAACTCTTTCCTGGGCATCGACTGCCTTCACAAAAACACAAACGGTAAAATAAATGTATTTCTAACATTTTGTTCTTTTTACTTTTGTTTGTCGAATGTAAGATATTCTTTGGAAAATCATAACTGCAGTAGGCTTATACAGCTTATATTTTCATCATGTTTTAATTGCAAAAGTTTTATTATTGTTTTTGTGCAGACATGAAACAGCAGCATGTAATTGAGACTCTGATTGGCAAGAAGCAGCAGATCCTCCTGGCCACACAAGTTGTAAAGATGATACTCAAAATTGATGACATACGAAGCCCTGGTGAGAGTGAAGACTAGAACCTTTCTACGTTGCGCTCAGTTTTGTGTTGTACAATGCATAAACGTCTCTGTGTAGGCACTTCAAGGCAATGTGTTCAAGCCACCCTGCATAACTATTTATCATTTGATACAAAAATACCTCACTATTGTGGTATCCGAATAATTAAAAACGTGGTCTGTTCAAATCTTGTGTTGCCATAGTTTTTATTTGTTACTCAGGACTTAATCATTGTTCAGTACAAAATGTATTTATAGATTAATTTAGATCTGCTGTTCAATACATTCAAGTTACATATATTTATTAAGCCAGTTCAGCATGTCTCTCCTGGCCTCTTGAATCTGGGGTGCATCTTCTGGATTTATGTCTTCTCTCTTACGGTGAACAAAGCCGTGGGTCTGTCCAGGAAAGATTTTAACCTGATAGTCCACTTTGCATTTCTCCTGTAGTTTGGCTTCAAGGTCTTTCACCTGAACAGTGGAGACATGAGGCAGTTGTGGTTTTTCAAGTATACATTTAGTTTGAGGTCAGTGTAAAAGTTGTTTACCTGTTCAAGTGGAATAAACTCATCTTTATCCCCAAAGATGAACAACGTGGGACTTTTCAGGTCAAACTTATCGTCCATTGCACGTATGACTCCTGAAAATTGTTTGTCGCTAATTATTGTAGGTCTTTGAATGCCTTATATTTGACACAAAGAGCTACCCATTACCATAGAGCGCGACTCCAGCTTTGAGTTCAGGATAATACAGAGATGCATAATGTGTGGCAACGCCTCCCCAGCAAAATCCCACTACTCCAATATCTTTGACTCCAAACTTTTCTTTTAGGAACTTGATAGTTTCATCCATTTCTCTAAGAGGAAAAAATATTCAGTCAGTAACTATAGTACAAACAGGTATTCATTACAAACACTAGTTACTTTTTAATGTTAGTTGGTTTTTTGTCCTCAAGCCATGCATCGAATTTGGACCAATCATGCGATTCACTCCATGGCTCTTTTCCAAGAAAGAAGTCAGGACACACAGCACTGCACATGAACAAAACACATTCGATCAGTTCTAAAACTTAACTTTATGCAACTACTGCCAAAACAATTATATTTTTACTCACATGTATCCATTGGAGGCAATCATATCAGCGATGTATCTGGTGTTGGGAAGTTTCCATCCAAATATGTCTTGTATAACAATGATTGCCTTATTAGATGGGGCTGTAGGCTTCACTACATAAGCATTAATGTGCTCTATCTGAACCTCTTGACCCAGACCTCCATACTCCATCCGATCCCCAATATTACATGCACACGGTTTGGCCTCATTTGCCATCTAATAAAGATCAATAGTTCAAAAATGTTCTGATAAGTTGAACAAGTATTTACAAGTTGGCCTATATGCTACTTACCGTGTTTGCTCTGTTGGCTTTCCGAGACTTAAATCTATAAAACAGCTCTGACCAACTCTTAAAACTGAATGTTATCTATGGGTGGGGCTAATATAAATGGTTTTGACCAGTAAGGTTAAAGGATTCATTTTGAAACAATGCCATAGAAAAGCAGTTTCATGGTGATTAGGCACATTTCACTCTGATGCCCTGCCCTCACAATCTGGCAGGGGTGGACTAAGCTCAAGTATTGTACCCACAGAAGTGCTCAGGTAAATACTGTACACACAATAGATAAGGTTTTATTATTATTATTATTAATATAAACTGCAAATCATACATGATGATACAATGATTTAATTATATGTATTATTGTGAATAATTGACACTGTCAATAAATCAACACTTTCTAGTAATATAAGTGTACTACATGTACTTATTGAGCCAGTTCAGCATGTCTCTCCTGCCCTCCTGGATCTGGGGTGCATCTTCTGGGTTTACGTCCTCCCTCTTACGATGAACAAAGCCGTGGGTCTGTCCAGGAAATATTTTAACGTGATAGTCCACTTTGCATTCCTCCTTTAGTTTGGTTTCAAGGACTTTCACCTGAACAGTGATGAGATAAGGCAGGTATGTGTGTCAAACAAAAACATTTTGGAGGTTTTCCAAAATATTAAGCTATGCCATTACCTGGTCAAGAGGAATGTAATCATCTTTCTCTCCAAATATAAAAAGAGTGGGGCTTTTCAGGTCACAACTGTCATCCATCATGCGTATGACTCCTGAAAAAAAAAGGTACAGTGACTGCCACTTTTTATTACAAGCCATTGTCGTTGTAGTAGTGCTGATTGAGCAAAATGCTAGATTAAGTTATACTGCATCTATCTATAGCTAACTAAACAAATAATTATCTGGAACTTGCAGATGCAAACAAACCCATGGCGGACCCATGTGCAGCAGTGAAAGTTTTGAATATGAGCTCTCTGCTAATATGTTTCAATGTGACACATTGCACATAACCTGTGCTTTAGTTAGTTTTAGTATTTGATCTGAGGTTTTGAACCTTTTTTACTTGAAGCCCATCCTGTTTACTGGAGACTTATCAGGCCCCCACAAAGACATCACTTGACAAAAATGATTCCTAACTAGTATTTATTCCCCCCTGGAGGTCCCACTGCCAAGGTACGGAATCACTGGTCTAGATGATATGATTGGAAGAATTTGATGATAGATTAGCTGTGCCAGAAATTTGCATTGGACTAGATAAAGCAACTCAAGTCTAAATAGCCTGATTGGTGTGCTCATTACCATACACTGAGACTGCAGCTTCAATTTCAGGATACTGCAGAGATATGTAGTGAGTGGCAATGCCTCCCCAGCAAAATCCCACTACACCAATATGTTTGGCACCACACTTGTTTTTCAGAAACTCGATAGTTGCATCCACTTCTCTAAAAAATCAAAATAGACAGCTAGTAATTAAAGTACAGACAGGTGCATTTGTATTTTCTTCATATGCAAAGTATACACCTACCTACCTCTTAATGTTGGTAGCTTTTTTGTCTTCAAGCCACTCCTCAAACTTGGACCAATCGTGTGATGGACTCCATGGCTCTTTTCCAACAAAAAAGTCTGGACACACAGCACTGCACATGAACACAACATCATAAATAAACATTCTATGGATTCACAACTATTCACTGGATTCACATTGTTTTATTCAGTACTCACATGTATCCATTGGAGGCAATCATATCAGCGATATATCTGGTGTTGGGAAGTTTCCATCCAAATATGTCTTGTATAACAATGATGGCTTTCTCAGATGGAGCTGTAGGTTTTACTACGTAACCATGAAAATGTTTTATCTGAACCTCCTGACCCAGACCTCCATACTCCATCCGATCTCCAATGTTACACGGACACGGATTGGCTTCGTTTGCCATCTAATAAAGAAAGCCAGTAACTTTAAACTTTTGAAATGTAGCTACTACTACTTAGTAGTAGTTGCTACATATATACATAGCTTGCTACATACCTTGTGCCAGAGCGTGAATTCGATCGACTTGGAAGTGGGTTCCAGAACACAGCGGTAGAACTTTGACCCAAAGTTTCGTTATTTTTAAGGTAGTGACGATAGATATATTTGGACATTTCAAAATAAAAGCATAATCGAATCAGAACGTTTGAGTTTTTGTGATCATGTTGGAAATAATTCAGGTAATGTGCATGATTCAATAACAGTAACGCCTATGCATTATCCAATATACTTCATGTACATGCTTTATGTAGCGAAAGTATTACGGAAACCCCAAAAGGCACCGCTGGGATTCGAACCCAGGATCTCCTGTTTACTAGACAGGCGCTTTAACCAACTAAGCCACGGCGCCGGATGACCCATTATCAAAACAAGTAGTAACATAACCATGGCTAGGTCAAGAGTACACAGTCTTTAGTAGCCTCAAAAATATTAGGCACGCTTACCCCACTGATTAGGTTATAACAAGGGAGGAATCTTCTGAGATGGACAGCATAGAATAAACACGATTTGTTCTCCAGCCGCCTAATAACATTACACAGAGATATGGTAGGTAGTTGAGCTAAGAGCATAGATGACTTTACCGCGTGGGTGAATAACAGGTGCAAAGGCAAGCATAAACTACATATCTATGAGTGAAATGTAATTCCACCTAGTAGATCCAAATGTCACAAGATAAAATGGTATGGTTCATGGCGATGGTGTAGTGGCAGTATGCTCGAACATTTTAGACGAAGAAGGAGTACTCATCAGTACGCATGCGTAGTCAGGTGGTTAGCTGGCTATTTGTCTCCGGTGGATCTGTCATTTCAACTATGGCGAGGATGTTATGTTTGTACAATGTTACGATGTAATTTTAGACTGAAAAACTATATTCAGGGCGACAAAGGCACTCTAGATGCGATAGAAAGGAGCGTATCAATCAGGATTGTATGTTTTTCGTGGACTCCATTTCATGATAGTTAATGAATTTCAGACAGGACAAGGCACAGACGTCTTGCTAGCTTGATGCAGCTAGTAAAGCCATAATATTGTTGTCGTTCATGGATTTGTTGTGCAGTGGACTATCGTAAACAACTGTCCCTGGTGCAAAGAGACGAAAATGGATCCAGTCGAAGAAGGTAACTGTTACATCTGCTTCTGTTGCAACTTGTCACATTTGTTGAATTAGCATTAGCTTCAAAAGGCGTCACTAACTGCGCTGAGGTGGCCTTCTAGTAAAAATGTGTCATCTCGATAATAGCAGCTTTCAGGCCTATCGATTTAAGTAGAGAACTTGTCCAATACTAATTAATTTCACATATGGCCCAGGGTCCAAAAGTATTACCGGGGCACAGGTAACGTGGAAATCACTAGAAGTTGCAGTGATGTCATCAGCCCGGTGTTGCAGACGTGTGTCCTGCATCTCACCAAAGGCTCATTGTGCAAGTCAGCAGGTGTTCGTACTGTCCTTTACTATTGCTCAGATAGAGCGCGGTCTGTATAACTTGGGTGGGTTGGTAGAGTAATGATGGCCGGAATTGTACAGTGGTATTTGCTGTTTGATTGTCACATTGTTGACCTGGTTTATAGTTATGACACTTTAACTATTGGTTATATCCACATGAAACCAAAGCCGGCACAAAGATCAGCTTTGTTTTTTCTA